AGGTAAGTGGTTGCAAATCATTTATTTGGGCTTAATTTAAACAAACAAATTAAGTTGAACTTTGCTTTAATTCATTTGTTTAAATGTAGCCCATATAAATGTATTGCTTACCACTTACCTTAAAAAATAAATAGATGAGGTGCTTGGTGTGGTCTGTAAATGATTGAAAAATATGTTCCTTTGGAACCAAAACTTTGTTAATTGCTTAAATATCCTGAAAATGTGTCAGTTAATGCAAACAAACAAACAAACAACAACAAAAAAAAACTTATAGATATCAGCTTTTTACAAACTAAACGTGTTATAACTTTGGTATGGAAAAATACCCTAAGACCTGTTCTTGCACAATGAATAAAGAAAATGTCTAATAATCTTGCTTTTGAAAAATGAACATACATAATCACAGGTAAAGCAGAGACTTTGAAAAAGGGAGGTGTCCATTCAATTCTTTTCTAAATGAATATAGATAAAAATTGGATGTCTTCGGAAAGATGACTATAATTTAAAATTCAATGTAATAATGTTTTTTTGTTTGTTTTTTATTTGTATTTTTTAAAAATATTTTATAGTATTCTGTTTTATAATTTATTTTAAATGTAATTTTTGTCTAACAAATGTTGGGGGTGGGAAATACATTCTGAAATATCATAAAAGTTGATATTTTGTACTGTTTGCTGGGTTCTGTAATATATTTAAAATCAATAAAAAACAAAGTTAATGTTTTTTTAGTAAATACAAATGAATAAATTTTTTTCAGTGTACATGTTAATTTATGCTATTTTAATTTATCATTTTATATCACTTAACATGTTACAAGAGGTCCTTTATAAAAATACATTTAAATGTGGAATTTAGATTTAAAGTTTTAAGATTTAAACTTACAAAATCACCTATTTTCTCTGCAGATCATACTTGAAATATGATTATTCATAAAACTCAAAAACTTTTGAGGCAACTTCAAGACAGGTGCGTTACTTATTTGCTCTTTTTAAAAGGGTTGATCATAATTATTTAATTATTTTATTTTAATTTAAAAAATTAAGCGTGAGATATTTGCTTGCTACCGCAGTATTTCATCTTCATAGAGAAGCACTCTACAAGATCTGCTTTTAATTTAGCCGCTTTCTCTCCAGACAGCTTGGAAAAAAAGTGTAACATGAGACGTAAAAAGACTGTGAGATAAATACAGCGCAGTATTTATTTATAACGCCGCTGGCCACGCATTAGTTATAGATTGTAGCTTTTGACACAGTATGTAAACGAAATTAGTTAAAATAATTGGATTACAATAAATCATTAATAACTACTGGACAAGTTTCATCGCGCGCTGAAAGGGAAAGTTACATCTTTATTACGTGCATTTGGAGGAGACTTAAAGTCAAGACAGCTGGACAATGTAAACTGCGAGACATTTGTAAAATGTAATTGCGGATTAAAAGTGCTTTGAATTTAGTTTTAGACATGTTTTAAATTAGAAAACCTAAAAAGTAAAAGTATTTTTTACATTTCTAAGAATATAGGCCTAGGGCAAAAATGTTAATTAAATAACCTTATATTATTTTTTATTAGGCTCCTAAATTTATACACTTGTTTTGTTTAATGTTATGCATTTCTCCAAATATATTGTGCATCTATATAAAAGCATGTTATGAGTAACGGGATATAAGACCGCCTTTTTTGTAATGCACACTAGGCCTATTAGATATTACAATGATTATTATAAACAGTTCTGGAACGTTTTACATCAGGATCCTTGTAAGATCATAATTATTATCCTGATAAGCGCCTATTGATTTGGATGAACGTGGATTGATCAATTTAACAAATAATCTGCGCAGAACTGCTACAAAACGGGTTTCATTTTATGATAGCCTATCGTGCTCTGTGTTGCTGACAAACCACATCACTGAGCGAGAAAAAAACTACAGAAAAAATATAAAAATGCAATTTAGCTAAATAACATGAATTAATAGCCTAGACTATAACCTGCCAAATTTTTTAGGCCAACCTAAATGTAGGCTATGGGCCATGGCCTGTGATTGATCGAAAAGTCTAAACTGATTAAAGAATACTCATATAGATATATATGATAGTCTATTATAATAGATTAGAATACAATAATATTCATATGTTTATATTGCAATGTTTATTTTCCTGACTGTAACGTTCGTGAAATGTAGTTCTAAAATCCTGAGGTAACAAATGTAACAATAAGCAAATCAGTAGGCTATTTACGACTTAGGCTACATTGTTATATGTGTCTGTTGTCATTTTTAAAATATCGTTAAATGAGATATCAATGTTTCGATCAGAGTTTCAAAGTTTTCACTTCATTCAGCTTTTCAGCTGTAGGCCTAGCCTATATTTTACAATTAGGCAAGGAAAAAGTATGACGGATTGCCACAAACCTAATGGCAAGATACAAAATATAGCCTATTGAAGTGAACAAAAATAGTCTGTTTTATAGCTAGTTGGATCTTCACTGATATTAGCATTACCACACGACCAATATTTCTTTTGCCTCCTAATAATGCACTGCAAGTACGGCTCATTAAAAACAACCGCTGTGATATTTTATCATACGCCAACAAATAGGCTTCTCTTTAACTTTTCCAATGCTGATTATTTTACTTTATTCAGTCTATATTACAATTTTTTTTTATTGCCTACATTTCGGTAAAATATAGAGCTTGCTCGACGATGACGTTTTATTAACCTACTGTAATTTTGTTTTAGGGCAGAAATGTACTGCTTTATCTGTATTCACAGATATAGCCTTAAGTCCAGCACATAAAGAAAATCATGTAATGGAGGCTGATTAAAAACGTTTCTTGTAGCCTATACAGGCCTAGTTTTGTTTCCTTGCGTTCAAAAAAGGCAAAAACCCTCATTCTTCACAACGACTCGAGGTTTCGATATGTGGCAGATTTAAGGGCAGAGTATAACAATAATAATAAAAGCAAAGTCTCGCGCTGGCACCAGGCAGCGAGCTGGGCTTCGAGGGAGAAATGGGATCTTGGGGGAAACTAATGATGAAGAAAGATCTCCTCAATCCAAGCTCCTTAATTAAATGCACGGAAAGAAGGAGAGAGGCTCTGCACATCTGGATTCAATCTGCGCCCCTTTGATGGCATCAAGTGTTCTTTTCCCAGACCTCGGAGGCTGACAGAGGCACACAGGCAGCCTGGAGCCTGAACTCATGTCATTGCGACACATGCGGAGCTCGATCCCCTCCTGTCGTGAGGCTCTTTAAAAGCGCACGCACGCAATGCTCTGTAAACCCACTGAAAAAGAACAACATTTTAGTGTCACATCACGAGCTGACACCAGTGCTGAACGCACGATACTCATGAGAGCTACGCCAGCGTTTATGACTTTGATCATTTTAAGGGTTCGTGTTACTTAGGATCACTTGAGCTTAACAAGGCCGTTATTTCTTGATTCAAACTTTTCTCCACCACACCATGATTTAGTGAAGTTGAAGAATGCTGCTTGGAAACACAAAATGCATGTTCAGTTAAACCCACCCAGCAAACAATTTTGTGTTTAATAGATGTCTAATGGACATCTAAACGTACACAGCCTGGCTAAAACAAGGCTAAACTTGTGTCAGTGAAAACCTAATTGGAATAGCCGAAATAGTGGTCAATTAGACGGATTAAACAGACTTTTTATGTGTAGTCATTCATTTCTGTTATAGTCTTTTGGTCTATTATTACGTTTAGATAGATTTTCACTGACAACCCAAATTTAGTCTTGTTTTAGCCAAGACGACTTTGTTTAGACATCTATTAGACATCTTTTTAAAACAAAAAATGCTTGGCCAACTGTTGAACGTAACTAGATTTACTGACAAATAATGTTCCAGATATACTGCTAGACTAAAATGAGTCAAAATAATAATAATAATAATAATAATAGCATGAATGAATTCAAGAATTCCGATTAAGCCATTTAAGTATGTACTAGCAATTAAATTGAGAAATAAATAAAATAAGCTTATATTGCAAAGGAAATCAGTTAGCCTACTTAAAATGATCCAATGTTTATCACGTTCAAAATGGATTACGTCATTCACCCATTTAATACTTGGTAGGCCTACTGGTTTTATTCTCATGTTACAACAAAACACAGCGTGAGTATAGTGGAAGAATTTTGAATGTTAATTTGACCTCTAAAACTGATTATATTCAAAGAAACAACAACAAAATTAGGCCTACATATAATAAAAAATGTTCTATATTTTTAAAATTCATTTTTAAACAAGAAAACAGCTGTGAAAAAATTATAGTAAAATTCTCAAATATTTTATGATCATTTTCCGAAAATTGCCTTCTTAAAATGTTTATTTCACTTGTTGGGTGAAAGATGACAACAATAATGCCTATAAAACAATAATTCTACACAGGATATAGCCTGCTAAACAAATTCTAAAATACGTTAATCATATTTGCAGTTGTATTTAAGACAGTTTATGCATGAAACGCATTTTCAATGCATTTCTAAAATTCTGTAATTATTTATATCACGTCATTATTAGACTCCGTATTTCAGTGGAGGTGGAAAAAATAGACGTTAAACGTTTAAACACAGACAAAAACATCGCCACGTAATTAGGACTTCTTGTATGTGTATCATCCTTCCCCAGGGCTTTAAATTTTCGTGTATTTGGCTCTCAGGCTCCCCCCTCAGCGCCAGTGTGCGCCGTTTGAAGTACCGGAGAAAGAAGCTGAGAGAAGCTCGTCCGGCCTCCTACCATTGGGCGTAAATCCTTCATCTGTGCCATCAAACCTTCCTCGCCAGTTTACTCATTCCCTCACTCTGGGAATGAGAGGGGAAAGTCTCTGCTGCAGAGTTAAGAGTGGAGTCATCGGCAAAACTTTGGAAACTTTGGAGCTCTTGAACTGGAGATGTTTGTTCTGTGATGCAGTTTCCCATGAAGACGCGCGATTGTCAAATAAAAGAGAGCTAGCAAATACGCCTTTTTTGGATTCACAAGACGCCGATCTACGGATGTAAAAACAGAAATCGATAAATTTGTCGAGTATAGAGTGGTTGTTTATGGTCGAAACGTAACCCATGTTGGTTGTAGGTAGAGGATATCTTGGGTTTCGTCAATTTGCGTCATGACTTCCAGCTATGCTCATGTAATGGACAGACAAGCCACACTACCAAACCGACTGGAGACTGCGATCACCGCGAATCAGGATCATTTACAGGCTAAAAAGAACTTCTCCGTGAGCCACCTGTTGGATCTGGAGGAGGCGCGGGAGATGGTGGGAGCTCAAGCGGAGGAAAGCGCAGGGGAGGCGGGCAGGAGTATGCTGGAGTCTCCGGGACTCACCAGCGGGAGCGACACTACACAGCAGGAGAGTAAGTGCTGGAGAACAAAATACGAGCCTTAAAAAAAAAAAAGGAGAATCTGGATTATAGTCAATGGGCTTTCCAAATTATATATTTTTTCATAGCAAAGGAAGATTTAAACTTCAAAAGTCACACAGGGGAAAAATGGAAAAGTGTAGCCACTTCTTAAATTACGCAGGCAATTTAGGATCTCCTAAAAAAGGAAATATATTTACAAATAATTTGTACATGCTAATATACATTGATTGTTATCTATTGTTGATAGCACATGCAGTAATAGATGTGATTATCACATTAGCAAATGCATGACAATGACATGCACCAATATGAGGGTCATTTTTTTGACATGCACTATTCTGTAGGGACACAGTGAGAATGAAAACACATTCTTCTTCGTTTACCCTATATGCGTTTGTTTACCAATTTACTTTAATTAATGGAAGTGTTTCAAAATGTTATAGACTATTCCAACGGTATACACGTTTAAAAATAGGCCGTTTAAAAATAAGCCAACGTAAAATGTAGCAAATATATTCTTCGATATCCAAGCTTGTTAAAATAAAATATCTTTATCTATTAAATAAAATTAAAAGTATATTACTTTTGCAGACTTCTAGTAGGCCTACTAGTCTAATGCATGTACGGAAGTCGAGAGAGTCTGTTAAATTTCAGTAGGCCAATTTCTATTTATTTAATATTTACTTCTCAGTATAGAAAACAATAAAACATCTGCAAAATGCATAATAGTAAAAACATTTGAATGCTCAAAAATGCAATGGATGCATCAGCTATCTTTCTGAATGTGATTCGAAAAAATAGTTCAACTACGTTTTAAAAGATATATTACTTAAAAAACTATAATTTACTATCGTACTAAAGTTACTATCGTATTACTCTATTTAAAACTTTATGGAAATTGCTGTAAACAAGTGATCATGCAACCATGAATCAAACCAAATAGTCTTGTTTATTTGACTAAAACTATGTTGATTTGAATTTTTAAAAAGCTCACTTTTAAGGTATTTTTTCGTCAACCGAAATACTAATTAAAACGAAATTAATTTTAAGGGGCCTAGCCTAAATAATAACAGCGTGTTTTCCGTCGGACTAAATAGTACAACTAGGCCTTCAGCAACACGATTTTAAGCATCGTGCGAATGCATTTAGGCCTCTGTGTTTCATTAATATGTTTATTCATGTTGCCTAGTTATTTTGTTAAATAATTTAGCCAACATTTTAGACAGGACTGCTGAAGTGTTGCATTCAAAATATGAATGAGAGAAACCATATAGCCGAACTGAAGATCACCTTATAGACCTATAAGCGCATAGGCTATCAGTTGGCAAAAGACGATAAAGTTTAAATGTTTTTTGCTGTCAAATGTAGACCTGTTCAAGCTCTAGGCCTGCAGTACTGATAACCTCTGCTTTCAACTTCTCGACTTTACGGCCTTGGAGAAATTGGGGCGAATCAATTCGTCACTGTGGTGTTTTCTCTCTACTTCTCTCCGGGAGGTTTTATGGGGCGATTTAAGAACTGATTGATGCATCCAGAAAGTAGCAAGTCTACAACGATTTGCATTTTTCCTACACCAAAAAAAAAAAGGCCTAGATATTATAATTAGCATTTACCTCTAAATCAGCCACAAACTATAGAAAGAAAAAGTAGGATAAAGAAGCAAAAGTACAGAAGACAATTTATATAAGAGACTGTTAAACTTTTTTTCAGGCAATTTAACAAAATCTGTATATTAAAAATAACTGTATAATTTCGTCCTTTTATGTTCCATTTCTTTTGGTGCAATTTAATTTATGCAAGAGAAAAATAAGACTGGAGAACCTAAAATATTTACACATTAATAATTTATTGTTCTGTAGTCTACATGTAAAAAAATCTTTAAAATTAAATCTGTTTTGCAGACCAAAGCAGCAAACATCATAAACACGAAGTTAAAATCTCTCTAAAATTCTGTATAAAAATCATGAAACATCATGACAGAACATAGATAATTACTTATAATTATAATTGTGTTGATATGCTTATAAATGATTATGGCCTGACCATAACTAGATTAGAAAATGATAGTATGCATAATTAGCTAAGCTGTTTTGTGTGTTGTTTAATTTTTCCTTCTTTAGTATTTTTATGTATCATTTATTTTAAAGAAGGATAAATGTAGTGTGTGTAAATGTTTAACCCAGTGGTATGGGTTTGTTCATAATTTACCCAAATTCTGGTTGAAACCCAGCATATACATGTATATACACATTTAAATTGCCTTAATCAAATTCTGATCGCCTATTAAACAATTATTAAACACTCCCAGAGACATTTTAAGAAATGTCTGTTTCTTTTGGTTGAATTTCCTACACAAACACTGTCTCACTAGGATTTACTGAATTGTAAAAATAAATACTTATTTAAAATGAGCAGCAAAAAAATTCTTGTTTTTTTTTTTCGGGGCAACTTAATTGTTTTAGGTTCAATCCACTTAAATTTGTAAAAATTAACGAGTTAGCTTAATTCCTTCATGTAGTCTCAACACAAATCCAGGCTGTGTGGAAGCCAGCCTTTTTACAGTGCAAGAATCTGACCCACATTATAATTTGGATATTCACGTCATATTAATATTTGACTATTTGTGCGCCTCCAGACGAGCAGCTCAACGCAGAGGAGAAGAAGAAGCGTAAACAGAGGCGAAACAGAACCACGTTCAACAGCAGTCAGCTGCAGGCCTTAGAGAGAGTGTTTGAGAGGACGCATTACCCCGATGCTTTCGTCAGGGAGGACTTGGCACGACGGGTCAACCTCACTGAAGCACGAGTTCAGGTTAGAGATTTGTATTAGCCTGTGTTTGACCTTCTCCTTTCTAATGGTCTCCATCATGATAGATCTCCATCTATGCATGACAAGCTCAACACCTTTCTTTAATTTCCAGGTATGGTTTCAAAATCGACGGGCTAAGTTTCGACGAAATGAACGTGCGATGCTGGCAAGTAAAAATGCTTCATTGCTCAAGTCTTTCTCAGGAGAAGTAACAGCCGTAGAGCAGCCCATTGTCCCACGACCCGCACCCAGACCCAATGACTACCTGTCCTGGGGAAGCTCACCGTCATACAGGTAGGAAATCCAACACTTTTTATATGACTGCCTAAATTCACCATTATTTCATCAGAGGGAATATTTGTAGTGCTGGATATTGTAGGTTATTCATAAATGTATGATATTAGACATCAACTTTAGCATATTAACTAAAATGTGAATGCAATGTACTTGTGAATAAATGTTTATAACATTTCATGTCATAACGAAAAATGTGCAAAGTATTTTATGACACAAATTAACTTGTCAAAGGTTGAAATAAAAATGTATATATAATAACTGAGAAAAATTATCAGTAAGATTTCATTTGTTAATATTGGTAAACAATAAGTTTACATAAACTACGAACAGAAAGACTATATTAATTTTAGTTCACATTCAATTTAACATATACTAAACTACTGAATTAAAAATGTTGTTAATGCGTAATGAAGATGCATTGATGAATAAACACAACAAATGTATTGCTTATTCTTAATTTCACCTAATGCATTAACTACTGGTATTTAACGGGACTTTATTGTAAAGTGTTACACAATGTGTGGCAAAGCAGCTTTACATAAAAGTGCAAATACAAATTTGTTTAAATCATCATAAAGCTCTGTTAAACTTACAATATAAAACCATAAATTAGTAAAACAGCTGATTTAGACTGCTTGAGTAAAAACATAAGTGAAATGTAAAAAAAAAAAAGTAATTTCTAAATACTTTTGTATTAGTTCTGGGCAAAGATTAATCACATCCAAAATAAAAGTTTGTTTTGACATATGTCTGTGAATAATATATATATCTATTACGTACAGTGCTCAGCATAATTGAATACACCCCATTTTGAAAATGAATTTTTTTCCATTTCTCAGTGAATATAGGCAATGCTATTTGGTGCATTTAAACAAAACAGATTTATTAAACATATATTTATTAAAAGAATACCTTAGTCACCATACAAATTTAGAAATTGAAAGATAATACAATTCAATTCAGAGCAAAATATTGCAAAAAAAAAAAAAATTTAATTCTCCAAAATTTCAAATATATTTTTCATTTTTTTGCTTCTCTTGCTTTTTCCTCTTTTTTTAAATTTGTATTTAATATTTTCTATAACATAAATTTTGGTGTCCTGGTTTCTGGACCGTAAGTTATCATAAGTTATTTTGTTAGATAAGCTCCAGATTTGGCTTCAGTACTGACTTATCTAATGTATATGCACAAATATAATGTTGTATAGCTTCCTATTAAAAATATGAATTTAAAAGGTAGATTTGTGAAGGGTGTACTTATATATGCTGAGCACTGTATATGTGATACACACATAATACACGACTATACAAAACAGTTTTGTCACAAATATATTATAATTTAGATAATTATTTCATGTGCATATTAATATTATGTCTAAATATATATAAAAAAAATCGAATATATGCATGCAGATAGGCATGGGCTGGTAAAAAATTGCATGATAGATGGTATGATGGTATGAAAGATGGTATGATAACTTTGGATAAAAATCTCACGGTTTCATGGTATAGTTATTACTGCTTTAAAATATGTTCCCGGGGGTCACGGGACAATCAGGAGGGGTCACTTGGTGATTTCCAAAAATCTATTTCCTTTTATTAAACTATTATAATTACAATATTTTATTTTTATTCTAATCTACTTGGGTCTATTGGTGTGTGTGCATTTGTATATTTACAACCACCTCGGAGGATATTGGGGGTCGTGAGTCGCTGACATTGTTGTTTTAGGGGTCGCGAGCTGAAAAGTTTGGGAACCCCTGGTCTATAGGATGTTGTTGTGTAAGTGATTAGTTTTTCAGATGTTTTTCATTTGCTGCAGTTTATACTGGTAACAACTTTCATATACCTTGAAACAGTATAACAGAACATTTTAGCAGTTTTAAAACCGTGAGTTTAACAAACCATGGTAAATCTTGAAACCGGTTATCATCCCATGTCTATGCATGTGTGTATTTATATATGTAATACATATGCATAGTACACACACATATATATTATGTCAAAACATTTTTTTTATTTAGATATGATTAATCACAATTAACCATAATTAAACTTTGCCCAGAACTATTTATTATATCTTATTTGATCATTTATTTATGTATCCCTAAACTCACCCTGCTGAAAAATCTAGCTTAAACCAGCATATTCTGGTTGGCTGGTTTTAGCTGGATGACCAGCTTGGTTTTAGAGGGGTTTTGGCCATTTCCAGGCTGGTTTCAGCTGGCCAGGCAGGAAAATGACCAGCTAAATGCAGCTAAAACCAGCTTGACCAGCCTGGTTTAAGCTGGACATTGCTGGTTTTGGCAGGGCTCCCAGCCTGTATAGGCTGGTCAAGTTGGTTTTAGCTGGTCATCTTCCATCCTGACTAGCTAAGACCAGGCTGAAAATGGCTGGAAACCAGCCTGGAAATGGCCAAACCCCTCTAAAACCAGCCTGGTCGACCAGGTTAAACCAGCCTAGGTTGGTTTAAGCTGTTTTTTTCAGTAGGGCACCCATGAACCTTAGTCCATGTAAGCAAGTACACTTTAAGTACACATTCTGAAAGCAACCGAAAAATAAAAAAAATACAAATCTTCTTACATTTTTGCTTACATTAATGTAAAAAAAATCCCCAAAAAGAGGGTGTCTCCCTGTGAAAACATACATACATACATACATACATACATACATATATGTATATAGATATAGGAATAGATATCAAATATGTGCTTCTTATGTTCGAAATTATTTAATTATTTACTATCAATAAAAAGTGTTAAATCTGATCTTGACAGCCTGTCCTCTTTATTACAGTGCCATGGCAACTTATTCTCCCTCGTGCGCCAACAACACAACAGCCCAGGGCATGAATATGGCCAACAGTATCGCCAACCTGAGACTGAAAGCCAAAGAATACAGCCTGAACCAGGTACCCACTGTCAACTGAAGCGGGCAGCTGGGCTGTCAAAGACTCTCAGAACAATCCCAATGTCCCAGCCCCAAATCTATTGACATAAACAACGTTTTCTGTCCTCCTCTATGTGTTTTACTCTTATCCATCAAAGAACAGAAGCAAACGAGAACAGCTCCAAGGCACCAAGCTTTCCTAAAACCAATGATTTACATTGAACCGTCATGTTCCTGGTATGTGGGGAAATGACATGTGGGAAAATTGAGTTTTGGACAGCACAAAATGGAAAGTTTTCCCTGTTCACACTCACTGTGGCAGCGTAAGCGTGGTCAACCCTTTTGGAGATCGTGGCTTACTATAGATTTCTTTCTTGAGACTCCTGCCGACCACAGGGATTTGATGACCTCTGCGGAATCCATATACTACAATCTTGCGGACATCTGGGGAGTTTTTAGGATTTCCCCTTGATTTCTCATTGGAACTCGTAAATGCGCACTGAGGCCACAAATTGGGATTTGGATATTTTGGTTATTTGGGAACAGAGTGAAATTTGGCTTTCCTGTTACTGGACTCTAAAATCACTCTTCACTGTTGTCCGTTTAAAAAACATGCAAGGGGGTATCGGTTCATTTTGGCATATACAGAACTCTGGCCATGTATGTAAGTGATGAATTCAGAGCTTTGTTGATTATACCCCATTATATTTTCTAAATATATGCATAAATATGTAACATTACTTTGCAATAAAGATGTCCTAGCAATGTAATGTCATCAAGTTTCAGGGGTAGAGTGTCCTTAAAAAAGTTTGTGGGACGCCAGAGAACTATTCAGCATGAATTCAGCATAACCCGAAAAATGAACATTTACTCACCATTTATTCACCCTAAAGTAGTTAAAGTTCTTAATAAATATCAGTTTTCTCCTGTTGAACACAGAAGATGATACTTTGAAGAATGTTAGAAACCATTAGGAATTGGAATCCATGGTTGCAAAAAACTACTTTAGGAGTCAATGGCTCAACAATCTATGAAATATATTATTTTGTGTTCAACAGAAGAGAGAAACTTCTGGAACAAGTTGAGTGTGAGTAAATGATTGATTTTGGATGAACTTTCCTTTGAGTTAAGGTACATGTACAGGGTTCTTACACCTTTTCCAACTTCAAATTCCAGCACTTTTCAAAGACTTTCAAGGTGCATTTTTATGCTTTTCCGGCACCTAACAACCACAGTAAATTATGTTTATATATGCTGGATGTACTTTTTACATTTAAATCCATTGTGCTATTTAAAAAAAACACATCATGACATTTCAACCTAAATTCTTGAACACTTTGGAGCAGAGATTTATTGGGATTGTTCACCCAAAAATTGCAAATTTAAAAAAAAAAGTTCAGTTATTGGATGAAGCATCTTTTTAATTTTGGTCTCTTTCTAGCTAAAGTTGACATCTAAAAAAATGAGCTTACAGTCAGATTGTATTTGGGTGTAGTACCAAACTTACATGAGCAGTCGTTCATGATATTTCATGTGCATTGCTATTCAAAATTCATGTAACAAATGAAAACTTTATGAGTCTGAGAATATTCCTGCAGCAAATTAATGAACTTGTCCTATGTTAATTGTTTTGAAAATCAGTCACCAAATATGGAGACCCTAGTTTGTAAGCTTTCATTAATATTACTTTTTATTATTGTCAATATTACTTTAGGTTAGGATTAAGGTACTGTTGTAACTGTATGCAAATGTCCCACCAGTCAAATGGTAACAGTTTAGTAGTTAAACTATTCCTGAGCACTGCGTTTGGTGTTTTTTAGGTGCAAATATGCATTCTGCGTAAATGTCTCCTAAATAAGTGCATTCGGTCAACATTTTGCAAGAAAAACTGGTTGCATGGCAAAAATTTTATGCATTCACACAAATGATCCAAAATATATTTTGAACTTGCATAGATTAAATCTCGGACGCATATGCAACCAAAATCGGCAATTTCGAGCCCTGCAATTTCAAATTCAAGCAGGTTCAAGCCCTTTGTCTAAAATCCAAGCACTTTTCTAACCTTGAAAACATTAAATTTTGCAGACAAATTGTTGATCAACAAAAAATCTGCTTGGTTTGAAAGCTACTTCTGTTTGAGTTGTTCTGTTAATGACAAGGAACTTTTGGTCACACTTTACAATAAGGTTCATTAGTTAATGTTAATAAATGCATTTAATAACATGAACAAACAATGAACAATACATTTACTGATTTTAGACAAAGGGCTTGAACCTGCTTGAATTTGAAATTGCAGGGCTCGAAATTGCCAATTTTGGTTGCATATGCGTCCGAGATGTTCATGTTAGTTAACGTTAGTTAATGAAAATACAGTTGTTCATTGTTAGTTCATGTTAACTCATGGTGCATTAACTAATGTTAACAAGCATGGACTTGGATGTTAACAATGCATTAGTAAATGTTCAATTATGATTAATAAATTAAAGTGTTGTTCATGCTAGTAAATGCATTAACTAATGAACCTTATTGTAAAGTGTTACTGAACTTTTTTATACACAAAATTAACATAGTACTTTAAGAGCCATTACAGAGAAAAAGATTATGAGACCACATGAAAATTTTTTAGCATTTATTAAGTATGAGTGGCTATAAAGGTCTGATAGCATTTCTTCCAAATTTCAAATACAAATAGTAAAATTTACAGCGTCTTTTTGTTGTGAGTAAATGACAACTTCTCAGAACAACAACTGTTTTTATTTGTTGTGACTCAAAATTTGGGTTCTTGAAGGCCTTGTAAAATTAAAAGATTTTTTTTTAGATTTTATTATCAGCATGTTAGTCTTAAGGATATCTATAATACAGTGTCTTCCAAAAGAGTGACAAAAAGTACATCAAGAAGATTTTTATGATGAGAATGCCTGCAGCATGTCACTTTAGCCTAAATGGATCACCTCATACTTCAGTTTCTCACATTTAAAGGTTATTAGGGAAAAAGTGTCAGTAGTTTACAGAACAAAACATAAAATTAGTTTTTACGCCAACACAAATACCACAAATTATTCTGGAAAAAATAAAATTTTTCATATGGCCTCTTAATTTTTCTCTATAGCAGTATATGTCTCTTATTTTGCAGATGGTTCTGTTGCTGGCAAGTAGTTGCACATATTAGATATCAAACCCTAATACATTATGTATGTATGTATAGCCTCGGAGGAGGCATTTTGGATTAAAACTAGATGAAACACGTCCTCCCACAATACTGGCCCTCTGAATCTGTGCCATTACGCAACAGAAGAAAAGCCAGGTGAAATCATTCAGAAACCCAAGAGCAGTGAGAGTTTAAGACACAAGTGTGCAGACGTAGCATTAGCTTTTTCAAAGCGAAACTGCTCTTTCTTCCTCTCAGTGTGAACATCTACCTTTAAACTGTAAAATAACTTCTCGTCAGGACTCCTGTGGGGCTTCGTCAGAAGTTTAGCAGAAATTCCTGCGGCTCTTTTCCCCTCCGCCCGTTTTCAGCTTCCCTCTTTTCTAGGGTAAACAAAAGCAAGGAAACGACAAAATTTTAGCTAATCAAACTGGTCATTTACAATGTGATCCAAACACTTCAAGTGCTGTTGTTCTTCCCCTGCCAGCTATCGCTCCATTAAAGTGTGTGTGTATATTTGCTTTGGATTTGAAAACGTTTTAAAGGTTGAAGAGAGAGAGGAAAAAAAAAAATTTGGCTGACAGAATCATTTCTGAAAAACAGCCTCTGCCATTTTATTACCTGATGATGGAGACTTTGGTGTCACACGCTGAACTTTAGTTTCTTTAAAGGGCCGACGCTGGTAAATTTTTTTGTTGAACGGGAATGTTTACTTTCAAAACAGTCTGTTTATGGCACAGGAAGCGATCGTTTGAGTTTAAGTGGCCGCGAGCTGTTTTTGAATGGCTGACACTGGCTTGTTTATGTACCTGATGGCTCCCTTGGTCGGCTGATTACATGTGACCTCAGGTGACCTCACAGACAGTCCATTGGAGGAAGGGGGAGCCGGTGAGTTGTTTTTCTTTTCATCTGTCTTTCAGCTCCATGAAAGAAATCTGTCAGCTGTCGTCGCTGTAATGCAGCTCTTTAAATATCGCCTAGTGGTTTGTTTATGTCATGTTTCGCAGATTGAGACTCTCAAGCACAATTATTTTTCTTTTTCTTCAATTTGTCAAAACATTAGGAATATGATCAATTTCACATAGGATATTGGCTGAAAATTAATTATTATTGGTAGTATTAATAAAATTAGTTGTTATTTGGCTATTTATACGTGCATTTTCTTTATTTTACCATTTTGATTATTGTTTCAGTCTAACTCTCACTTAAAGTAAGTCATTCACTTACAGTTGTTTTCAATGCTTTTTGAGGCCTGTAAGTTTTTTTTTAAAATACAAAAATATTTAGACATTTTAAAAAGTACAGTTGAAGTCAGAATTATTAGCCCCCCTGAAAAATTAGCACCCTGTTTATTTTCCCCCAATTTCTGCTTAACGGAGAAAAGATTTTTTCAACATATTTTTAAACATAATAATTTTAATTACTCATTTCTAATAACTATATTATTTTATATTTGCCATGATGACAGTAAATAATATTTGACTAGATATTTTTCAAGACACTTCTATACAGCTTAAAGTCACATTTAAAGGCTTAACTAGGTTAATTAGTTTAACTAGGTAGGTTAGGCTAATTAGGCAAGTTATTGTATAACGATGGTTTGTAGACTATCGAACAACAGTATAGCTTAAAGGGGCTAAAAAATTTCCTTAAAATTAATTTATAAAAATTTTTAACTGCTCTTATTCTTATCAAGATAAAACAAATAATAATTTCTCCAGAAGAAAAAATATTATCAGACATTACTGTGAAAATATCCTTGCTCTGTTTAATATCATTTGGGAAATATTTAAGAAAGAAACAAATTCAAAGGGGGCCAATAATTTTGACTTCAACTGTATATAAATTACAGAAAAATTATAACAGCCTCTGTAAAAAATATTAAGCAGCACAAATAATAAAAATAAACGCTGATAATAATGAGAATAACTTTAGTCAGAAGACAATGTTGTTTGATACCAAACAAATGGCTGCCTTGTGCTTTCCAAAAGCAGTTGGCTTCGGCCTCTTTCATCCAATCCAATAAGTCTGGATTTGGACCATCCCTGATTGCTTGACCTTTAGTGGTTAAGGACAAGAATTGTGTTTTTCAACAATCCAACTCTGAGCTGTTTCTTAAATGATGCATCTATATTAAAATTCCAGTCATTATTCCAATTGTGATGCCTTTAATGTGGCTTCTCCCCACAAGCTGGGCTCGTTCCATCCAATTTACGGCGGAATCTTTATGATCCAAGCAGTTCATGAGTCAAACCCTTTCCAAACACAGCCAGCCTCTGAGGACCTGCAATATACGGGATGTTCACTTTGGAGAGGGAGCCATTTCCTATTTCGACAGTTTTTTTAAAACCATTTTTTTTAACATAACCCTCTTTGAACCATTTATATCAAGGTCGATGGGCCTTGAACGGTTTCTTAACAAAGTGAGTCTCTGGATGGAGGGATTTTTAATGACACATGCGAAAACCTGGACAGAATCATTACTGTCCTCACGCCAACATCAACCAAACACCTAAGAATGAACATATGACAAAACATGTAAGTATGTTCTCAGATGGGACGCTATGCGTATATATCTTTATTCGCACTTTTGATTTCATAAAAAAACAAAAAAGTTCTGCATGTGAGAGATGTGTGAGGAAGCCACAAAAAAAAGAAAGAACAAACAAGTTTCATGTTGTCTCCTCCGTCCCCCTGCCCAGGCGTCCATCTTACCTTTCACAGCCGGGACTCGCTGACCCCAAGTGCTTCCAGATGTCGTCCAGATCTGACCCGAGCCCCGATCATACGTCCCTCCTCAGCCGCGAGCCCACTGACAGAGGCTCCCCGTGGACACACAGCTCACCCCCATCAACCTCCACATCTGGAGCCCATTAGCAAGGAGACAGTCAGGGAGAGAGAGAGAAAATGGGGTGGGGGTTCAGTTAAACTAGCATTGGCTGGAATTGCAGTTTGATCTTTACTCAAGTCGTTACCTTTAAAAACGAGACACTTCTCTTATGTGTTGCTTCTTCTAGAAAACATCGGGTATTAACTTGATAAAACGAAGGAAACAAAAGATAGTTATTTAACTTAATGTAATTTTCCCTTGATAAAATGATAATGTTTGACAAATGTTGAATGTGATGTTTAGATGAATTAAAATGGCCGTCATTTTAATAATAAACAAACAGTAAGAATGCTACAGTAAAAATTTATAAACTGTAGCTTTAACAGTACAGTTTACTTAGTACAGTGCAGTGTTTCTTCTAGGATTTTTTCCATCTGTGGCAGCAGGCCTTTTTTTTACACAGATCTACCAACTATCTATGGCGTTATTATTTCAATGTCAAATGTCGTGACTGCAGTATTACAAGTCAAGATCGCATTTATGTTATAGCCTAGAGCATGCGGATCTCTTTGCTTGCACGCTTTTTCCTCTACTTGTGCACAAAACTTCCGAACACTTCCGAAACACTAGCTGGCAGTAGGTTTTCATATTCCTCTGTGTCGTGTTTCTTTGTAAGTGTTATGTTTTTCTAAATGCTACCTTAACAGCTAGTAGCTAAAACTCGCTTATTCTGAGGCGGGAACCAGTGGACGTGCAACAATTTTAAGGTAAACAAAAAACGTTCCACCTGGACCTCCTTCACAGGACTTGACACTTGTAAACACTTGCTCCAACGCGTTTTCGTGGCTCTTGGTCCCGCCCACACACATCAGAGCTAACAAGCCGACAAATCACAGAGCTTGCGCTACGTGTCGTTGCAACGTGTAGTTACGTTTTTTAAGAGGTGCGCAGTGTAAATGAAATTAAGAGGTGAAGTATAAATCAGCCTTTTATTCATACAAAAATCATGCTAACACCATGCTTAGTTGTGTTAGAAACATGCTAAATCATGTTGGAACCATGCTAACAACATGCTAATTCATAATAGAAAACATGCTAGCAACATGCTAATTTATGCTAAACATGCTTATTTATGTCGGAATCATGTTAACAACATGGGGATCAATGTTAAACCATGCTAACAACATGTTTATTTATGTCGGAATTATGTTAACAACATGGAAATCAATGTTAAAAACATGCTAACAACATGTTTAATTATGTCGGAATCATGTTAACAACATGGGAATCAATGTTAAAAACATGCTAATAACATGGTAATTCATGCTAGAATAATGCTAGTTACATGTTAATTCATACAATGATCATGCTAATACCATGCTAATTTGTGCTAGAAACATTGATTACATTGTTGACTGCATGGATTGTAAACATTCTTTTAGCCAACTTGATACTTTTTCAAACTAAATAAATTACTTAAAACAGGCTTTCTCAAGCCACCATAAAGTTTGACCTCAAACTTTAACTAATTTATGCTGGTATCATGCTATTACCAACCACAGACACAGGGATCAACGTTAAAGCTTTCTACTGACTTGCTTCAGTCTTTAAAGTGGTTACATTGTTGACTGCAGGGATTTTAAACATTTTTAGCTAACTTGATACTTTTTCAAACTTAATAAACTACTTAAAATAGGCCTTCTCATGTCACCATGCACAACATGCTAATCAATGGTAGAAACATGCTAATAACATGGTAGTTTATGCTAGAATAATGCTAGTTACATGTTAATTCATACAAAAATCATGCTAATAATACCTATTCTACTTTGTGTTAGAAACATGCTAATTTATGCTGTAACCATGTAAACTACATGCTAATTCATGATACAAACATGCAAGCAACATGCAAATTTATGCTAGAAACAAGCTAATTCATGCTGATAACATACTAATTTGTTAGACTCGTGCTAATTCATACTATTACCAACCACAGGCACAGGGATCAACTTCAAAGCTTTTACTGTCTTCCTTTACGCCCTATTCACACGGGGCTTCAGCGTCAAAGCTTGACAGAGGGCGTGTCTGAAGTTGGAGCTGAAACGATCGTCATAGAAGCGTCAGCCAATGAAATTCAGTCAGCAATAGGCCACTGTCTGAGCTGGTGTATTTGCATACAGCGATCTGATTGGCTGACGCTTCCGTCGGCGCTTGAAAAGTTGAGCTGGTCCCAACTTCTGCAGCGAGGAACGCTTCTGAAGCGGCGCCGACGGATCCACAATGCAGTTCGGCAACGCCTGACGTCACCCATTCAAAGTGAATGGGAAGCGTTGACGCTGATGCCCCGTGTGAATAGGGCGTTAGTCTTTAAAGAGGTTACATGATTGTTGACTGCAGGGCTCTTAAACATTCTTTTAGCCAACTTGATACTTTTTCAAACTAAATGAACTATTTAAAACAGGCTTTCTCAAGCCATCAAAAAGTTTGTCCTCAAACTTTAACATCTAGGTGCATTCTAATGTTGATACATAATGTTAAAGCATTAATGTATGTGTGTTACCATGTTTTAGCAAATAAAACACTAATGTTCATTCATTCCTTCATTCATTTTCTTTTTGGCTTAGTCCCTTTATTTATCAGGGTTTGCCACAGGGGTATGAACCGGCAACTTATCCAGCATATGTTTTATGCAGACATAAACATATACACACACACACACACACACTATGGCCAATTTAGCTTATTCAATTCACCTATAACGCATGTCATTGGACTGTGGGGGAAACCGGAGCACAAAAGTGGATACTTGTTGAGCTCACAGCAACCTTTTGCATGTTAAACATTATGAAATGAAATCAAAAACAGATCAATATTTTAAGATTTGTCAGGTGATTCATAATTTTGGCCAGTTGGCCACGACTGTATAGATGACACATCCCATTCAGATTTCATATGTTTATATCAGGCTTTTACGGGGTGTTGATGAACTTAAATAAAATATATGGCTGTGTGAATGAACAAAAAGAAATGATCTTAGATCAAGTGCATTTTCTGTGAAACTGGACCACATAAAACCCAATACACCCCCCAAACACCCCAAAGTTACCATGTATTACATTAATGTGAGTCATTGTTTTGTAATTGTTTTCCATGTCAAATCAACTGTGAATTAGTCTTTAAAAAACCAAATGTGCACCTCTATTGTTTAAATTGGTAACATTTTGTGCTGTTACAGTTTGGCAACTCTAAAAATGGAGAGAAGTTCTGCCCAGAAGATAAGTCTTTATGAAGAAACAATAAAAATAATAAAATAATTTGAGGGAGAGGTGCAATGATTTTATAATCTACTTGACCAAAATCCTATAAATATCAACGGATAGGCAAAATAAATTAAACTCTTCAATCTTTAAATCTGGGTTTCTGTTTAATTAAAATAATGTAATATTTAATGGTATGATATACGACATAGGTTTAATAAGTTAAATTGTTCTCTGATATCTACATAGTAGGTTTCTCCAGAGAAGGTTTAATATGCTTATTTATCAGTCCATAGAATCAGAATATATGGTTTATGTCGTGAATATTAATAAGTGCGGCTCCTACACACACAGACACACACACACACACACACACACACACAGCATGATTGTCCAGTACACGGACACATAAACACAATCAGAGTAAAGTTAACCTATTTTGCTCACCAGATCTGTTGTGGATAAAGGCTAAATTGTAATTAAACTTGACAAAAGAGAGGGACAAAGATGTATAGCGTTGTAGAAAACAGCCAGGACTGAGTACCAACCTCTGCATAACTTTAACGTACGGAACAATGAACATGACAGTTGAGCGATTTGACACGAATCAGCAAGCATCTACATGTTTTTGTTGAAACATAAATGTCACAATAAACATGATAAATTAACAAAAAAAATTAACTCAACATACCTTTTGCTTCTCCAAAGTGGCGATTAATGAATGTGCAATCTCTAAATCTTGCATTTTGCATTCTGTAGCGATTTTGAACATGCCTCGTGCTGTGGTTGCCCAGTAACACAGATTGGGGTTCAAATTGGGGTTCGCGTTTTCAAAATAAAAGTCCTACACACACACACACACACACACACACACACACACACACACACACACACACACACACACCTTATCAAATCATCTTATAATATTATCAAATGCAATCTGAGGCTATATTAATTATCTCTTAGCATTTTTATGATCTCAGAACACCAGTTCAATAGTATCTCTTCAAGAGTTGGTGTGCTCTTGATGACACTACTACTCATTAGGTCCGGATGATTGACATAAAGTAGGCTTACATGCAAATGAGGAGGGCTTGGCCTGTGAGTCTCATGACAGTTTTATTTTCTGATTGGATCGTTGTCCACCTGGGTTTACACTTAAGGAATTTCTATGAGAACAAGAAAACAGTGTCTGAGGGTGTTTTTACACCTGCCTTATTTATTTTGGTTGAATCGCAATCGAGTTTGTTTTCCTTCTTGGTGTGGTTCGTTTGGGCAAGCATTATGTAGCAATCGCACTCGAGAGGCCACTACAAGCAGACCAAAAATGCGTATCGAGACCTCATTGAAGAGGTGGTCTCGGTACACTTTCAAACAAACCCTGGAGCAGTTTGCTTGTGGTGAGAACATGATCTGAACTAGAACAGACCCAAGCGCATAAAGTACTGCGCCTTTTTGGACTAATCCAGCTGCCGTAATTCGATGTGATGTACACTATGGGATGTAAAGGAAAAATATTTGTTGACAGCACTTTACCAACAATTTTAAACAGAGAGAAAAACATTACCTGATAAATTGTCTGTAATATTTCGAGAAGATGACCATGTCACAGTTTAGCTAAATTATTTCACCCCCTCCTGAACTGACTTGTTTTCCAGCTGTAGTCGTGCTTCATTTTCGAAATGTATGTTTTGTCTAAAGTGATGTATACAAACTATATAGTATACTATGATCAGGGATACAATCAGCCAGCATAGTCGTCCCTCTATAGTAAAAAGCGGCATGTTGGTTCTGCTTGTTTACTTGCAACAGTTCCATTGGCATTTTCCTGCATAATAATTTTAACCAATTGAAAATCAGGTTAAGAAATACGTTTAATAACATCTGGCCAATGAGTGGTGTGGATTTTGTCAAAGGACTGCATTTTGGTTCTTTTCAACAGGTCCCAACCAAAGCAATTGATGTGGTGTGAAAAGCTTAAAAAAATGGCAGAAAATGCTACAATGTATCATTTGTATTGTTACCCATGGTTCAGACCAAATGAACCGAACAGCAGATGTGAAAGCACCTTGAGGTTCACAGTATGTCCATTTCCATATACTGATCTTTTATTATTTTATTATGCCTTGGTATACCCAAATTTTCATTATAGGGCACCTTTAAAAAAGGCCACTAAATCAAAACATGTAATAATTCACAGTAGACATAATTCATATTATATATTGTCATCAATGTCTTATTAAATCCATTAATAAATGTTTCTTAAACATGGCGACGCAGTAGTGCTGTAGGTAGTGCTGTTGCCTCACAGCCAGAAGGTCACTGGTTCGAGCCTCGGCCGGGTCAGTTGGCGTTTCTGTGTGGAGTTTGCATGTTCTACCTGCATTATCATGGGTTTCCTCCGGGTGCTCCAGTTTCCCCCACAGTCCAAAGACATGCGGTACAGGTAAATTGGGTAGGCTAAATTGTCCATAGTGTATGTGCGAATGAGTGTGTGTGGATTTCCCATGATGAGTTGCGGCTGAAAGGGCATCCGCTGCGTATAACATATGCTGGATAAGTTGGCGGTTAATTCTGCTGTGGTGACCCCTGACTAATAAAGGCACTAAGCCGAAAAGAAAACGAATGAATGAATGGTTCTTAAACATTGTCAGACACATGTAAACTTGAGTTATATAAAATAGTTTATTGTCAAACATATCTCTGTACAGACTGTACTTACTCTTTTATTCTGTAAACATAGTTACTCTCCTTCTCTGATTTTATTGTCATTTAGCGATTTTCCATTTTTTCTTAACCATGTAAACATCTTGATAAATGTAACCTTCTTTAGTTGAAAAATAAAACTCTTTGAAATGTATCTGTATAAAAAAGTACAATTGATTTATATTCATTTGATACATTTATTTACAGTATTTAAGGCAAGTTCATTATTCAAGTAACTGTAGTTAAATAAACTTAACATTCAAAATAGACATTTACTTGACCTTTTCAGCAGATATGATATTCAATTACAATAACTAGTTTTGTAACTAGTTACATTCAACATCTAAAAAACACATCTACATTTTATCATACAAACTTAAAAAATATTTAACTTATCAAAACATGACTGAAGTTCTTTGTAAACAACTTTTCAGTGAACGCAATAAAAATACCATATATTTCATAGTTTTATCAGAAAAGCAAAATTAATATTCAAATTAAATGCATCAAGAAAAAGACTTCATAATGAACAGTATTTAGTCAATAAACTGGAAACATTTGCAGCCATCAGTCAAATCTGACCTCTCAATCATCTAATCTTTCCAAATTACTTATTTCTCTTTTTTTTTAACAATCTGATAATGGTTACCAAACGGCTGCCTGAGAGAACTGCTCCATAATAAATCTCATTGCACACTGGACATGTCACATTTTTTAAACTAGTTTTCAATGATTATGTGTACGTAGATTGGCACTTGTATTTCACCTATGCTCCCATAGTATTTTAATACCTGCAACTGGAGTGCAGAAGGGATAGAAGAAATGCTCTCAGCCTCAACCCATTGTTCCTCTGTACATTTACATTTAGTCATTTAGCAGAAGCTTTTGTCCAAAGTGACAACAAGAGGCAATACACACATGTAGGGCTAATTATACAAAGAAACTAGTAGTGCTCTGAGTAAAGAGAGTAAAGAAGGTTTTTATTAGAGAGAGAGAAAAGAGTGTTTCTACAGGTGGTTTGTCAAGCCCACTCACCTTTGTGAAGCACAATGTTTTTTGCTTTGTTTGTTTGTTTTACAGATATGGAGTGAT